GGGCCTCGGGGGGCCCCCCCCGGGGGCCCCCCCCGGGGGGGCCCCCGGGGGCCCCTGGCGGGGCCGCGGCAAAACCACGAAGACAGTGCTGGTGCCCCTTGAGGGCAGGGGCCCCCACAGCCGCAGCATGAAAGTAATATTTGAATTTAAATCAGAAATGGAAAGAATGAATTCTGGAGGGGCTGCAGGTTCCCTGAAGATGGGCTGTACAGACAGCGTAAACACCAGCTGCTCCAGCCACTGCTGCTCGTCGAAAGGGGGGAAGGGCCCCCAGTGGGGCCCCCAGGGCACATCCCCTGGGAGGAGGCCCCTGGGGATGATCCGGGGGGGCCCCCGGGGGGGCCCCCCGGGGCCCCCGGGGGGCCCCCCGGGGGGCCCCCCGGGGGGGCCCACAGCGAGACCCAGCGCGCCGGCGGGCGGGGGGCCCCCGAAAAGACGCCGGAGGGGCCTCCTGCGGCGGGGACGGACGCCAAGGAAGGCTATACACATTATGTTTTGGATTTAATGAATTAAAAAAAGCCAAAAAGACAAAAAGGAACTTCAGAGAAGAGAAGAAGGCGTCGGAGCTGCGCTGCCGCCTCCGGTGTACAGGCAGGTCCCGCGCGGCCACCACGCCGTCCGCCAGGCCGCCAACAAAGTATTTTTCGGCTAAAAAAGACTAAAATTTGCGATAAAAATGAAAACAAAAATAAAAATGACAAAAAAAGGAACCGAAATTGCCAAAGATAGCCGCGCGCGCTAGCCTGAGCTGTCTATACACCCGAACACGCCTGTGTGTGGCCGCGGCGGGGCCCCCCAGCGGGGGCTCTTTCGGGGTCCAGTTTGCGGTTTTTGGTGCTGAAAAAAGGTAATTTGAGTCCAAAAGAAGAAGGAAAAGGGTTTTAAAACCATTTAAGTCCATTAAAAGCGCGAAAAAGCGCAAAACAGCTCCGTAGCCGCCGCGCAGCGCCACCTGCGCTGCTCGCGCCGCAGCTCCCGGGGGAATAGCGGGCCCGAAACTCCGCGTTTTCCCCCTTTTTCTCTTTTATTTCTTTAATTTATTATTTTTAAATTGAATTTAAGTCCAGAAGTCCTTTTGTTACCGAGCTGGAGGCCCCGCCGCCGGCGAAAGACTCCGCACAGCTAACTGCAGCAGCCGGGGCCCCACAGCTGCTGCTGCTGCTGCCTGCTGCTGCTCCCTCGCCAGCAAAAAGCTGCTGCTGCTTCTTCTGTCTTTCTTGCGGCATCACGCGGACTGCAGGGACCCCTCAGCTCCAGCAGCCCCAAACCCTAAACCCTAAACCCTAAACCCTAAACCCTAAACCCTAAACCCTAAAGAAGGGGCCCAGCAAATGGATTCGCACTACCACAGGTACGAAGATAACCGCACCCTCAGCCCTGCGGGGTTGCAGATGGTGGAGCAGCAGCAGCAGCAGCAGCAGCAGCAGCAGCAGCAGCAGCAGCAGCAGCAGCAGCAGCCTGAAGTGTACCCCTTTTGCGTGGCTTATTCGCCGGAGGCCCCCGCGCGGTCTTGGGGCCGGTTTGGGGAGAGCGGAGCAGCAGCAGCAGCAGCAGCAGCAGCAGCAGCAGCATCACTGCAGCAGCAGCTGAAGGAGAGTTCGCTGGGCCGGCTGCTGCTGCTGCTTGCGGCCTTTGGCTTCGCGCTGCTGCTGCTGCTGCAGCAGCAGCAGCAGCAGCAGCAGCAGCCGCAGACCCTCGCAGCTAATTTGAGCGCAGCAGCAGCAGCAGACTCCGTCTGCAGCAAAGGTGTGCCACAAAACTTTACTTTTTTCTTTTTTAATTTGTTAATTTTCTTTTTAAATAAATAAATAAATTAATTAATTAATTAATTAATTAATTAATTATTTATTTATTTATTTATTTGTTTATTTATTTTATTTAAATACTTTTTGTTGAATTATTAATTATTCAAACTCCACAAATTTCCCATTTCCGCTTCTTTTTTTCCAGTTCTTTTTCCCGAATTTCCAGCAAATTAAAAAAACCAACCAATTAAATAAATTAAATTATTTATTTATTTATTTATTTATTTATTTATTTATTTATTTATTTATTTATTTATTTATTTATTTTTGTTTCAGATTATCGGGACAACACTTTGAAGTTGTCGCAAGAAGCCGCAGTCTCTTCTTTTTTTTTGTCTCCTTTTCCCCAGTTCGAAGCCAGCGACATTATTGTCTCCAAAGAAAAGGCCCTTTACTTTGTGAGTTTTTTTTTTGAACTTTTTTGGACTTTTTTGGAACTTTTTGGCCAATTTTTTGCAACTTTTCGCAAGTTTTTCGGCTCTTTTCTGTCTCCTTTTTGTCCCCTTTTTGTCTCTCTTTTGTCCCCTTTTTGTCTCCTTTTTGTCCCCTTTTTGTCTCCTTTTTGTCCCCCTTTTTGTCTCCTTTTTGTCCCCTTTTTGTCCCCTTTTTGTCTCCTTTTTGTCCCCTTTTTGTCTCCTTTTTGTCTCTTTTTCAACTCCTTTTTAACTCTTTTTTAAACAGCTTTTTAAGATCTTTTTGATTTGCTTTTGTCTCCTTTTTGGCAACTTTTTGTCAGCCTTTTAACAACGCTTTTGTCTCTTTTTTGTCTCCGTTTTTTCCCCTTTTTGTCTCCTTTTTTGGCTTTTTTAAGCAACTTTTTAGCAACTTTTTGACAACTTTTTGATTTGTTTTTGGCAACTTTTGGGGAACTTTTTGTCAAGTTTTTTCTCTCTTTTCTGTCTCCTTTTTGTTCCCCTTTTTGTCCCCTTTTTGTCTCCTTTTTAACTCCATTTTAATTCCTTTTTGGCAACTTCTTGACAGCTTTTTGAAAACTTTTTGAAAACTTTTGGTCAACTTTTTGCCAACCTTTTGTCTCCTTTTTGACTTATTTTTGTCTCCTTTTAAGCTCTTTTTCGTCTCCTTTTTGCCTCCTTTTGACTTCTTTTTGTCTCCTTTCGCCTCTTTTTTGTCTCTTTTTTGTCTCCTTTTTGTCTCCTTTTTGTTTCCTTTTTGTTTCTTTTTGTCTCTGTTTGAAAATCCATTTATCTCCCATTCCCTCTTTAGTCTTCTTTCGTCTCTTTTAGTCTCTTTTTGTCTCTTTTTTGTCTCTTTTTTGTCCCTTTTTTGTCCCTTTTTGTCTCTTTTTTGTCCCTTTTTTGTCCCTTTTTGTCTCTTTTTTGTCCCTTTTTTGTCTCTTTTTTGTCTCTTTTTTGTCTCTTTTTTGTCTCTTTTTTGTCTCTTTTTGTCTCCATTTGCCCTCCGCGCCATTTCCATTCCATCTTCAGCACTCTTCTGTCTCTTTTAATTTCTTTTTAATTTCTTTTTTAATTTCTTTTTAATTTCTTTTTTA